GCGAAGCCCACTGCATCTTCCTGTATGAGCACAGCCGCTTTGCCAATCTTTTGGCTAGTTGGATAGGCCGCGTTCGAAAGGCTCGGCATCTTGGAGCTGACACGTCCACTCTGCATAAACCCATGGGAATCGGTAGGGAATTGGTAGCGAATCGGATATGACATTTGAAACTGGTCACGGTCAGAGCGGTCAGAGTGGCCAGAGTGTATGTGCCATGTCCAAAGTCATGTTGGAAGAAGAATCATCAGAGATGATCTACTATGAGACATAACTAGTACATTGGAATCGTACATTTATGTCAAAGAAAGGAAGCAACGAATATCAATCTGTAGTCAATACCACAGAAGTATATTATGGACCACCGACAAACAAAGTACCAAGTACAAGTCCAGCCAAGGCGGCCAATCAAGGAGCGGCCCGCACTTGAAAAATCACTGCGACAACTTTGGCTACTTTTTTGCTCAAACACAACTTTGGAAGCTTCTCAATTTCTATATCTACCGTGAATATGGTCGGCCCGATAGCATCCCTTTCACAATTAAATCGTGCGGACGGCTCAGCGTCATACAAATGCCCAGCTACCGGTTACAGCATTCTGGGCGCAGTCAACGCGCCCATTGAGCTCCCAGCACGCCGTGACGCATTGAAACCCGAAGAAGCCACTGTGGAGGTCTTTGTCAAACCTGGTACGACAACTCCTAGCGTCGGTGAAAGATATGTCGAAGGAATCCTGCGGTCTGTGCTAGGAAAAATTGTCCTCGGACGGGAGAAGGGCTTCCCCCGTCGCGGTGTGGTTATCACCCTGGCTATTGTTGGAGGAGAGAACGTGCAACGCGGTGACTCTGTGAGTATTACAAGGCTTCCCTTTGTCCTGAACTGTCAGACTGATCTATCTAGTACCTTACTATCCTCCCGGCTCTCCTACATGCTGCCTTGCTCGCTATGATATCTGCCTCCGTTCCTCTGTCGATGACCTTCTCCGCGACCCTCCTCGGTGTTACCAAGTCTGGTGATATTGTGCAGGACCCCTCCCCGACTGCCGCCAAGGCTGCTGTGTCCCTCCATGTTTTTGCCGTCTCCTCGAAGAATCACCTTTTGCTCAACGAAAGCGAGGGTCGATTTGAATTCGATACCTGGGAACTTGTCCGTGAGCGCGCGCTCTCAATTTGTCAGGGCGTGGCAACCCCCAGCGCTGATGGCGATGTTACTATGGACGAAGCAACGACCAGCACCATTTTGAACGGTTTCATCCGCGAGACCGTGGAGGACCAGGTCTACAGCGACTACGCCTACAAGCTGGACTCTATCTGAGGCGGACTGCGCCCACGGCAAATTTGTGGAGGGTTAGTGAGATGCGATAAAATGGGACAGGTCGATCGGTCAGCCCTGGTCCCCTTCTCTAGTGCACATGACTTGCTTGCCTGAAGCACTCGCTATATCTCCCCCTCTCGACTAGGGATACGACGGTGCCACAATACGGTTGATCGAGTACCACACACGGTTAAGGCACCGTCACCTGACTGATGCTGCATGTACAACACGCTTCATTCGGCTACCACAAGCGACAGCCTTGCTGCATATGAGGCTTGTTTTCGGATTCCCCCACTGTTGGATCCCGGCCCCCACCGGCTTTTGATATTGAACGTGTCGGTCGCCCAATCTTGCCAGGTAATTTAGCAGTGGACGGTTGGAACTACAGACTCCTAGCGGTCGCCGCCAGTATGATGGTTCATGTCCTATGGCCCATCACGAGTCAGGGAAGGAATAACATGTTGTACCGACATTCTGGCAAAGACTGCACAAAGTACCATGGAGAATGGAATATCGAACAGAGATACCAAACATCCCTCATTACCATCAATGCCATCATTCCCTATAAGCATTCCAATCTTATTCGTACTCCGTAAGATGCACGGAGTAAGATATCTCTGATATCACAGTGTAAACGTCATTTATCTGAGCGTACTGCGCGAGTGTACGCATTTGGCGATGACTAGCCAGACTCACCAATGATAGAATTTTCTGGGGGAATCTCGCCAATGTCAGAAACCAATCTAACTAAAGTCCTAATTTAGTGTATTTATCGAGGTCCGTGGACGGTCATCCTCCTAGAAAGGAATACCTTTTTTTTTTCCTCCAGGGCTAAATGCCAATCGTTACCAATCGTCAATCGTCAATCTTTACCCTACTAAACCACACTACTAGTACTCTTAAGTTTATTCGGATCCCTGTCGGCATATAAAAAAAAAGAAAAGATAATAAATCACAAAGAATCACAAAGTCCCCAAAAAAGTGTGGAATACGCTAGAATCAACATCAACTGGGTCCACGACTTTACGGGGGACACAGCTGCAATCTCAAGACTTCGGATCCGCAATCCCCGTTACATCCGAGCTGTTTTCCCTGATTNTCCCCCCCCCCCCAAATCAAATCTTATTTACCTGCCGCCTAAGCCGATGGCATCCAGCCGTGATAATCAACGGGCTGACACATTTTCACGTCTATCTACACAACCCCCATCTCACCCCTCTCTATCTCCGTCTACCAAAGCCCCACTCCCAACTACCGCGGCGCTCCTCCGCGATCATGCCCTCAACATAGAACCCCCGACCCAGGACAATCGCCGTCTCCCTCAAGGAACCAACACCGTGCCTACACAAACTTCCGAATCGGCTCAAGAGGAGGTCGCAGGCTTGTCGCTCCCTCCCTCGCCATTACGGTCATTTCGCCAGAAGTCGATTAATCGACGATCGAAGAAAGCGTTATCGACCGACTGTATACCGCGACAGACAATTTTGAAAGCCCTGGCCTCCCGAGCCTCGATCCTCAACAATAATACCAATATGTCGTCGAGTTCCTTGTCGAGTATGCTCGCGAATAAACCCACCCAGGCTTCCCCACCTTCCGACAACCAGCAACGGCGGGGGAGCAATGGTTCCTCCAACCTCTCTACCGCACTCTCAAATCTTCAATTGAGTGGGTATCTCGATCGATCACCTGCCACGGCACGTCTGATACTGCAGTCGCCATGTTATTTCCATCAACGCTTTGATGATGCTGTCAACATAAAAAAGGTGTTGGAGGAAATCGCCGATGATGAGTGGCTGTCACATTCACGACTAGTTCAGACGGCAACTGGAGTCCGTGAAGTTTCGAAGCAACTACAACGACGACCTATCAAACGGGCGGTGCGAAATGTCATGATTGTCACCAAGGCGCGCGATAACAGTCTGGTGCACTTGACTCGAGAAGTTGCCGAGTGGTTGCTTTCGACCTCAAGATACGGAAATGAATTAGGAATCAATGTCTATGTAGATGCGAAACTGCGCAATTCGAAACGATTCGACGCTCCGGGCCTATTGCAAAAAGACCCGATGTTCGCGCAGATGTTACATTTTTGGACACCGGATCTGTGTTGGACATCACCAGATAAATTTGACTTGGTGCTGACGCTTGGTGGTGATGGTACCGTTCTTTTCACATCTTGGCTCTTTCAGCGCGTGGTTCCACCAGTGCTCTGCTTTTCGCTAGGCAGCCTGGGCTTCCTCACAAATTTCGAGTTTTCCGACTACAAATCACAGCTTAATGCCGTTATGGGTGAGGTGGGCATGCGCGTCAATTTGCGCATGCGGTTCACATGTACTGTATATCGGAAAGACCGGAGTAAGGGAGCCGAGGTGGGCGCTGTCGAGGAGGGCGAACAATTCGAAGTATTGAATGAGCTGGTCATTGACCGCGGCCCGTCCCCCTATGTGTCAAACCTGGAGCTCTACGCCGACGACGAGCTGCTCACAGTCGTTCAAGCAGACGGTTGTATCTTCTCCACGCCCACTGGTTCCACGGCATACTCTCTATCCGCCGGCGGTTCTCTTATGCACCCATCCATCCCGGGCATCCTCCTCACCCCAATATGCCCGCACACCCTCTCCTTTCGCCCAATGGTCCTCTCAGACTCCCACCTCCTCCGCATTGCGGTCCCTAAATCATCCCGGTCCACCGCTTACTGCTCCTTTGACGGTAAGGGCCGCGTTGAACTCCGCCAAGGTGACTACGTCACTGTCGAAGCTAGCCAGTACCCATTCCCGACAGTTGTTTCCAACAACAACGAATGGTTCACAAGTGTTCAGCGTGCTCTACGGTGGAACACCCGCGGCGCGGTCCAGAAGAGCTGGGATGGTGGTGATGCCGACGCGGATTTGAACAGTGATCCCAATGAAGACGAACAGTGGGACATCGATATGGACACTGTGCTCGCTGGTACAGATAGCGGCATCGGTCCCAGTGAGGATGGGGATGCTCTGTCGCCCAATCCCATGCGTCGACAAATGAGCTTGCTCAATATGTGATGTTCTTGTGCATGTTAGCGATTTTCGATTTCTTTTTGTGCTCTATACCTTTTTTTAACGCCTGGGTCTCGGTGTTTTGTTTTGTTCTCATTTCTCAACCCCAGCGTGATGAGGTTCGCTCGGTGTTTGATATGCATTGTAACTATGTTGTTTTCGACGTATCTTGGGCAGGAAGGCACCTGCATTACTGTTCGTCTTGGATATCGTTTCAATAGATCATGACATATTGCCTCTACGGCCTGAAAAGAAAGCCTCCGGCGGGTCGACTATGATTTTGTCTCGCAACTTGTTGTCACGTCTAAACTTTAAATGCTATAACTAATCTTTTCCCAGCTCCGTAATTGACCTCAGTGAAGGTAGCTTGAAGAAACCTCGTCCCAGGGCATAGGTCCCCTCAGTTCCGAAACAGGGAAAATATGGTGTGGGTTCCTCGGATATGCGATTGCATTCATCCATCAGTCATTGGTGGGCTATATGAAGTGTGCGGGATTGCTTTTTGTTTTGTTGTCGAGTGCTTTTACACGAGACCTACTAGACTTTGCGCCCAAATAGCTAACACTACTCAGATGCACCATCTTAAAACGAAAACTTTCATTTGCCTAAACCCGTGTCCTTCGTAACACCATTATAAAAAAAATTAATTATGTTTTGCTTTTACCAATCACAGTTCTCAGCCAGGAATGCGGCCAATTTCTCGAGGTACTTCTTGTCCTCATCGTCAAATCCAGAGGGCTCGGTGCAGTCGATGTCAATAATAGCGACAGTCTGTTAATGAAGATGTTAGCATGTTCCTCCGAGGATAATTCCATTCTCCGGAAAGCGCGGTAACGTCGCCAGGAAATAAGTACTAACCTCTCCATTAACCAAGATAGGCACAACAATCTCACTGCGGCTCTCTGCGTCGCATGCAATGTGTCCAGGGAAAGTCAGAACATCAGGAACAATAACAGTCTCCTGCTTCGCGGCAGCAGTACCGCAAACGCCCTTGCCGAAACGAATTTCCTGACACGCAGGCTTTCCGTGGAATGGCCCGAGAAGAAGAAGCTGGTTCTCCGAGGTAGAGTATGTAGTTGAGATAATTACACCACCGGAGCCGGGTGCACCAGGCAATGGCGGCGAGGAGACCGGGGAAGCGAGCGCCGGGAATTTGTCATCACGGATATAGAATCCAGCCCAGTTGACGGATGAGGAAGGGGCGGGCAGGGAGGCGTAGGCGTGCCAAAGGAGGGAAGAGACGTTGGAGAGGTTGCTAATGGGTCGTAAGCGATTATGCTTTTCAAATGGTTTGCGCGGTTGTTGAAGCGCGCATATTTTGGATTGTGTTGTCATAACTCACCTAACCCAATTCCGTTGGCCATCTAGGAGACCTTGTGTCGACAGTAGGAGCTGTTCGTATATGTCGGCCTTGGAGCTACCTGGCATGAAATAGGAGGAGTCGGCGTGAGGCTGTTAATCGCAATCCTGTTAGCGCTGTGTTTGGGTCTGTAGGGATCTTCGCGATGCGCGATGCGCTTTGCAGAGGTCAGGGAATTCGCAAAGAGCGGGCGCAAACATACCATGGTGATTCAATAGATATAAGACGTATGCGCAAAGGTGTGAGATGACAAGTATCGCGCGATGTAAAGAAATTAATCGATCGCGCTAGGCGGCTTCTCGGCTTTTTTTTAAAAGAAATGGGCAGAATCGGGAGAAGCGGGGCTTTTAGACGTTCAGCCAAAGCTTGGGATGGAGCTTTCTTTGACCTTTAGTCTTCCAAGGTTGCTTTCTCCCCTTTTATCCTTTGTTCCTTTGTTCTTTATATCCCCGATAAACCCCGACTGTCGAAACCTTATGCCGGGCTCCGAGATGCAAGGACATTTCTGATTGTGGATGGAACATCCTGTTGGTGGAACTGCCACTCACTCGCCTCAAGGAATGCCGGACTCCACATTTTCGCGGGGTTAAACCTGCGTGGAAGCTCAAATCTCATCAGGGTCTTTGCCAACATGCATGTGTCAAATTGTCAATCCCGAAACCCATTCATTCGAATCAAGTGCTTGGTTGACTCGACCTTGGGTCTACAACATAGAGAACCAATGTAATGCCGCAGGCCTGAGGAAACGTTCAAAGTGTTGGCGTAAACTTAGAAGAACTCGTATCTCCGTCTTCTATGTCACTTTCTCCAACTGGCTGAACTTTCTTATTACTCCAAGGGGAGATAAGAAATACCCCAAACCTTGAGCTAAACATTTTATGCACTTCACATTTCTCCCTCCAGGCGTTGATAGTATGATTAACTTCCACCCGGAGCAGAGATCGTGCTCGGGAGATGGATGGTCTCTGGTACTGGAAACTATGGGCGCGGCGTCCTTGGTAATAGCCAGATTCGAGTTCTCCAGTGCCTTTGATCCAGCCGTCGGAATAGCTGGAAGTCCCGAACGGTTCTTGGATGTGGACTTCATCGGGAGTAATACGAACAACCGGACCTAGAAAATGTCAAAATCCAATCACCTTCCCATAGATACCAGACGACATACCAAACTTTCGGTGCATATTTTCAATCTCATGCTCAAAAATGCCAGGACCCCAGGCAGAGAAGTATATCTCATACAACCCTGTTGCGGCAGCAAGGCGAGGCCCCGGGAACCTACTGAGCTTGTGGAAATGAAGACGATAAATAACCATGACTATGTTATAGGCCACGGCACTGCCTAAGAAGAAACAGACGAACATGATCACTGTTGGTTGCGATCAAGATTTGCTATAGTGAATTTTGAAAAAAGAGTAGAATACACTCCCCACATTTCGTAGTGGAAATAAAAGTCTAGCCCCAAGGCTGTTTGTTCTCTTAATATAACTGTCTGAGGAAAGTATAATCTCTAGGGGCTAAATATGAATCCCAATCCCCCACCACCTTCCCCCAGCCCCACGACAAGAGCCAATTGGCCAAGTCCATACCGCATGTTATCTCACATAAACTTTCCCCGGTAGGACAAACTGCTCCCCGCGGGTTAGCAGGTAGCATAGAACAATTGCTGTGCACTGGAATTTCCGAACTGAGCGAGCGGATGCTCGAAACAAAGTTTTACGATGCTCCTGCCCGCGACCAAAAGGAGCCACAACGCCGTTGATATCATAAATCTTGTTTGATAGGTTGACTCTCACATCATACCGCCCATCTGGAAAAGCCTCGACATGTATGTATACACCGGTAGTGGGATGTAGTGCCGATCTAGTGTGGCTTGTGCGTCGGGGCTTAGTGCTGATTTGATGACGCTGGGAGTGGGGGTTGATCATAGATTCAGACCGCTAGTTGGCTATGCGCCCCCCTACCACTGGGCGATCTGTCGATTTCCCGATCCTTTTTTTTCAAGCATATATGTGGTGTGGAATGGCGGTGGGTATCATTGTGCATCGATTCCAGCTGGCCCTCGGCTCTGGTAGCCCTTGGGTTGGGCGTTGAGTATCATTTAGGTGTCAATGTTTGAAGTGCGATGTCCTCGGGGTCCATGCACATGCACTGACCTAAGAAGGCTTGGAATGAAATCATTTATGTTGTCAGTGGCAATTGGCCGGCGCAATAAGGTTTTGAAGGCCGGTGTGTTCGCAGATGAGAATCGCCGAGCTAACTCCAGGGCGTGGCATTTGTAACGCAATCTGTGAAATTTAGAATGGAAAAGTGTCACTAATTGAAATATAAAGAGTGTCTATTAATATTCATGTCCAAGAGTTAGCAAATTGCACGAGAGTGAAGTGGAGATTCGACGGGTAGTTAACCTAGTCAATCAATATATACATGTATATTAACTATAGACAAGCGTTCAAAATCCACACCGGTCTGGACTGATGAATTGATATGGTCATCTTAAAATCCTTGGAGCATTTGATATCTAAAAGAAGTAAATACAAACTGACTTTTGCGGTCATACCCTGAGCTAATTGAGATTGCCAAACATTACAAGGTTGGGCTCTGAGTTATCCATGATTCACCCATAGTAACATTCAACACTACAGTAACACATTATTCTCTATTATAGGGTCTTAGACATCCAGGGCATCAAAGCTACGTAACGTTCAATGTCAAAGATATCAGAGAAGCAATCGATGAATCTGGTGGCGTGCTTGAGGGCCTAGTGGCCTTGATCCTTAAGGTCGCGGGTAGTATAGACGCACACCGGAAGCTGCCTATCACTGTAGAGCCGGTCAGTGTGAGCCTAAACGTACTTAAAGTCACCAATAGCCCAGGCGAGCAAATACGTGCCCATGATAGGGGTTGTTTCGAATATTACCATGTTCCATTCATCCTTAGTGGGCCTAGTATTCTTGACAGACGTGTTGGTGAGGGCACTTTGATCGACGGGAACCTCAATCTCAAATTCAAAGCTTGCCTTAAGGTTGGGCTCGTCGAAGCATGGAAAGGCACGGCGGGCATCGCGCCGCGCAAACTGGGTACTGAGCATGTAGCACCACTCATCGTCATAGGGAACGGATTTTACGGGTGTCACGGCTGGTTTATATTTACTACGGTAAAAGCCGGCCATTTCGTTATTCATGGCCCCTTCAAACTCGATGCTATAGAGTGTCTGTGAATTGTTGCTTATATGTTTGACCCTGGGCATACTTACATCACTGTTCCGTGATAAGCCCAGTCCCTAAACTCGAGGGAAGGGAGACATGGTGGCGAATGGGCTTCATGTTGTCCGAAGGATATCGCGGTCGGTCATCTTGTCTACATTGATCTACACATATAATACAAAGGTCAAAACTGAATGAATTAAACAAGAGAATCAATGTTTTTGTCTTATTGATTCCTATACCCTCTTAATCGTACACTCAAAATGCCTAATTTGGATCTAGCCACTCTCATTCAAGGGCTACAATCTGACTGACGCCATTATTGAGGGTAGTCCTAGCTGAAACTCCCCACAGCTGAGATGCATGCAAATTTTAGCGTTCCTAGACAATCTAGCAGAAAAAAGCCTCCCGCTTGAACGTGGCAAGGCTTGTTGGTGGCCCTGCAGCACTAACTCGTTGGGATATTTTGCCTGATAGAGACTGAACAAATCGAATTTGTTCATTTCTACAAAGAAACAAAGAGCCGAGCCCTTGAAGGCTGGGCTCAATAGATAGGAAAAGTCGTTTTCCATCCTGCATTGCAGAGTCCTATTCCATCGAATAATCTGGTCGTTGCTCTTATTCAAACCGGGCTTTCCGCCAATATTGTATACAAGACTACAAAGTACAGTGTACTTAAATGTAGATATATAGAGTAGAAGGATAGCACTAAACAGGAAGCCAGGGCTTAGGGCTCTCGGGTAGACACACTTCCGGGTGTTGAACTCACGTGACGATAAGGGCCATTCAATGTTTTCACCTGATACCAGGATGCGTATTGCATGCCACTTCATAGGCCAACTCACAGGTGGAAAGAAGCTTAAATCCTGTATCACTCAACTCGAGTCTCATTCAATACATCACGGAAATTTTTCAATTCTCTTTTATTGATCTTGATCATCTATAATTTTGTACATTTCGGAAATAAACATGCATACAGCCCGCATATCACTCCTGTCCAGACTCATATGGAGACCCGCATCCGTATCCCTTGGTAACAACATTACCACTCGGCAACGCCAGCTGCCATGGGTGGTCCGATGTCTTCAAGGCGGGCTGTACCCCAGAAAATGTGGCCCCTGAGCCGACATTATCAAGTCCAAAGTGGATTCCACCGTGTCCAATGTGAGCGGAAAGCGGGTAGAAGGCTTTCCGTCGCCAAAATGGAGGAATATTTAAACGAGGTCAAATTTCGACATCAATTGACGCTGCCCAGACTCGCTCACACCGTTATTCCTATCTATATCATAATTCCCACTCACAATGCCTGAGCAAATCCTTGCGGGAAAGACATGCCTCATCACTGGCGGTGGCGGCGGCCTAGGCAAAGCAATTGCAACCCAATTCCTCGAAGCTGGCGCCAGCGTCGTAATCTGCGATGTGAACGAGGAACGACTGCAGACAACCTCCGCTGAACTGTCATCCAAGGGGCCCCTGAAGGCTATTAAGACCGATATCACCAAGACCAACGAGGTGGAGAGTTTGTTCGAAACCCTGATCGGCGAATTCGGCAAGATTGATGTCCTCATCAACAACGCCGGCATCATGGACCACTTTGACCCGATTGGCGATCTGGACATGGAGCTTTGGGATCGTATCATGGCGATCAACCTTACTGCCCCGGCTCTGCTGAGTAAATTGGCTGTTCGCAACATGTTGGCGCAGCCGAAGCCTGATGGGCGAATCATTAATATTGTTTCCGTTGCCGGAAAGGCTGGATGGGCTAGTGGTATGTTCTAACGAAATAAGAGGATTTTACTAGGAATGGAATTGACTAATGGCTTTAGGTGCTGCCTATACGGCCAGCAAGCACGGTCTGGTCGGATTGACCAAGAACACTGCTGCATACTATGGCAACAAGGGAATCAAGTGCAACGCTTTGATGATGGGTGGCATGGAGACAAACATCGTTGATGCGTTTAGCTCCGGAATGCATATGGAGGGTTATGAGAAGATGATCAATGTCCTCAAGGCGATTCAAGCTCCCCCCGTCGATGTGAATGAGGTTGCTGGGTTCTGTGTGAACATGACATATGGAAAGGGTGCCGGTCAGATCAACGGCGCGACTATTGCTATTGATAATGGTTGGACTTCTGTTGTTGGGTAGGCTACAAGATTTTGGGTAGCTGATTGCACTCGGCTCTACTGGAGTGTAACTATGGGCCTTTTTTCTCTCCCAAGTGTTTATATTTTCAGGAATACATACGTCTGTTTCTTGTAACTACTTAAAAATAAGCAACCGAATCAATTTTGATGCACCTCACATTTCTTTGAAACATGAAAGACCTAAGTAACCAAGGGATTTGGCTGAGGCGGTCCCTGATCCCACTTCTCCACACCTTCGGGAATGTCGATAATTGCCTCCTGGCACCAGATGTGTACTGCAGTTCGCAGCATCTCTTTGTTCAGATCCTCCAAGCAACCACCTTTCACATTGGTAATTGCAGAAAATTCGGGCTGTTCGCCAGGTGCTGGTACGGCATCCCGGAAGCGATGGAAAAGCCGCGCGCCACACTCCTTGCAGAAAAGGCACTCCATATCGCGCCCCTTAAGGGTGACACGAGTGTAGCTGCTGACCAGACCGGAGACTGACTCAGGGAGTTCGAAGTACGGAAATGTTGCGGTGATGCCGAACGCGGACGAGCTTTGGTGCTGGCATTCTGTACAGTGGCAGATCCAGAGTTTCAGAGGTTTATCCGTGGGTGTCGTGAATTGAATCCTGCCACATTGGCAGCGAGCTTTCATCCCCATGGTAAGTTGTGAAAGACTGCAATTGTTCGAAGGTGAGGGGTAGATCCAGATTCCACGAAGCTCGGGAGCTACCGTCCACGGGTGGACCTAACGTGCTTAGGAGAGCAAGGCCGGAGGATTGGTAGTTACATCAACAGAGGGCCTGAGTTGAATAAGTTGTTAGATTGAGGTGCTCTGTTAGGCTTACAGGTTAGTTATACCTGCCGCCAAAATTCGAGCTTATTGCAAATTATTTCCCATGTCATACATAGAAAATGCTTTTACCTCACAATTTCTGCACTTCATAGTCAATCATTTTCACACTTCTAGCGAAACAGAAAGGCATCCGCAGAACATAGCTCAAAGAAAAACAGAGCGTATTCTTGTCTTCAATATAACGCCCCTGCTATCACTGTGGCCCAAATGTATCTGATTATTAAAGTCCTACATCGTCAAGGACAGCAGTCATCTAAGTGGGCAATTGTTCTTGTTTGGCTATAGATAAGAAGAGAGCTAATGATTTTTTTTTGAGAGAACCAGTATGACCACCTAAAATAATCAGGATTTTTATTCTACCAGTTTGCACGTTTATTTCCAATTTTTCGGATAATCATTTCCTTTTAATGTTCAATGAACCCTTGGGAGGATTGATGGAAATCCCCAAATACCATCATTAAAGGGAATATTCTGAATATTCACTACAGCACTGTACTTCTGTAGAAAATAGCCTCGATCCTAGGTGATCAAATTTGAATTGTGACGCTCGAAATCCGCTTTTTACATCCTCTAGTATCATACAAACCTCCAGATATCGATTGTTGGTGGAAAATCTGATCAAAGTTCACCCGCAACGGCCATCTCAATAAAAGCAATAGCTCCAGGGGCCTCGTACCATGCTTCATAAGTCAAGTTCAAGACCACCCGCATCTGTTCCACGCTCCCAATTGAAAATATCGGGGTTTGGACCTCCAAATGTTCACCTGGGTTCAGAAGGGCCGGCCAAAAGTGGGGATTCAATTCCTGGACGTCCTCGTACAAAGCGCGAATCTGGGCTTTTAGTTGCTCACCTTCGAGTTGTCCGTCGTCACAATTGGTGATATTGGGGTTTTTAGCGATACTCGAAGGTTGGAGGCCGAGTCCCAGCATGTGGGCAACACTTCCAGGAGGTCCCATGCTTGTGAGGATCACTTGAAGCACTTTGACTTTGACTAGAGTCACAGAAACGATATGGGTAAGATCAATCAACTTTCCACAGAACATATCGACTGGCTCGAGCGGGTTGGCGTTCTTGATGTCAAGGTATGGCAGAGTGGTATTACCCCAATCATAGTCGTTATTCTGACCGGTTGTAGCCCACCACTTCAGAAAATCGTAGCACTCCTGGTCCTGCTGGAGACGAATCATCAGGCCGGGGATGACGTCTCGCGCGCCCATGTTATCGCCTCGGCAGAGTCGCAGGGTTTCCATCAAGACATTGAGCTGTTCTTGAAGCGATTGGACATTATTAACAAAGCTCATGGTATTACACAGGGCAGCGCGGGATCGCATGTAAGGGCGTGTCGAGAGGATTGTCCAGAAATTTCCGACGCCGTAGGTAAATGGATTTCCTGGATGATCCCGTAAGGCCTTTTCTTCCTTCTCCATATCAACACGACATCTTCTAATGGCGCTGCAAGCAGACTTGTGCTCTTGGCGTTGAGCGATCTGGTGTTCGACACCACAGTACATCATCACTTTGCAGCCAGAGCAGCAGAGAACTCCATCTTTCTTGCCGCACACACCACAGCCAGATGAGAGTTCCATTCTCTTTCGTGGGGAGATGTAGAAAGTAGAGTGTGGTAAGGTTGAGGTTCGTTGGGGTTCTTGATGGAGAATATGTTCACAGTGAAGGAAAGAGGGTCAGAGTGGAGGGAAAAGTCAACGCTTGGCTTGCTTTGCAGAGGCCGTTAATGGTTTGGCAAGCTTTGTGAATGAAGACTGACTTGCTTATGGGGTAAAGGAGGGAGGAAGCAGATGAAAGGATGAGGAGAGTGAGAAAGGGAGGAGGGGCTGGCAGGGCATTTATTATGTACTTCGTTTGACTACCAGAAGAATAGTTGATAATTCTTTGTTTTCCTGCAAACCTAGGCCACAATACAGCAAAAGCTGCGATAATATGCCCTTCTCAATTGTTCCAGCTGTACATCCGCTGAAGACATGGACCATCATTTTGATATCTTTTCTCCGCAAGTATTTATTTCCACAGCAGGTAGCATGAAGCATTGAATTTCTGTATTGAGAATCTGTCTCCAGACCTAACTTTCTTATACCACATTGGAAAAAATACAGAAGAGTGGAAGTATACACATTAGCTATTGCGGGCCGATGATAGGCCTAATCCCCGGACCACGTGAGCGGCATGTGATCTCAAGCATCTGATTTCCCTCGGAATAACTGTTCATCCCCTTCAGTCCCCACTTCTACCTTTGCTCGCCTTCGCAAAAAGTACTGGATCAGACGACTCCTTGCTCCTTCTGCCACTCAATCAATCCATCTACATGAATCACCGAATGCCATCATGAAGTTTTTCGAAAACAATTTCACCTACGATTACTCCTTCCCCGCCGTCTCCCTTGCCTATTTCCTCCGCTATCCCAATCCTTATTCACAACATGTCCTCACAACCGATGTCATTGACAGATACGTCGACCCCAAGACTCAGCGTCTTCACACAATCCGGCTACACCTAAAAAAGTCCAAGGTCCCATCTGGAATTCTAAAGCTTCTGCCAAAAGGCATGGGTGGCTCAGACAGTTCCGGTCAGAGCTATATTCTTGAAAGGACCACTGTTGATGCCAGGGAGGGGTGGATGGAGACTGAGTCCCGCAACATGGAGTGGACGGGCATCCTGAGCGTGGTTGAGAAGCAATGCTACAAGCGGCTCCAATCCGAGGAGCATCGGCTGGCTTTAGATGGTCTCGCCGTCGACAAAAGTTCCGAGCAGACTAGTGTCAAGACTACGGTCACCTTCCGCTCCCGACTCGGACAGGGCAAGCTGCTTGGAAAGAAGAAGCATGACACTGGCGACCACGAAGATGATGAGCCTCGCAAAGGATTCTTCTCATCCCTTTCCACTGCCGGTATCCAGCGGACCATTGAGCTCATCGGTGTGAGTCGGACTAAGGAGGCTGTATTGAAGAGCAAGCAGGGCATGAACATTGTCCTTGAGCGCCTGCGCAGTGGTGGTGTTGTCGGTGTCCTCGAAGGCATGCGCCAAGACCGAGAGGCAGCTTTCGGACCTGACGGCACGTGGAAGCGTGTCTGGCTGCACGGCAAGGACCGTTCTATTGAAAACGACAAGTCGTGATTGACATCCATTTCTATTCTGGATTGTCTTGTTTTTGCTTGGGTGATGTACCCGTCATTGCATTTTGATTTCAAGCGTGGAGTTCTGGCGTGGGGATATGATCGAAACTCTCCCACAAATCTTTTCTGGATGTTGATATTCGAATTTGTATGTTAATATTTTTGCATGAGGCGCAGCCTCTGGGATGTGCATGTATGTTAAGGGGCATGTTTAACGCTCGTTTGAAGGTTCATTGTACAATATGCATCAATTTTCTATCTTTGTTTTATAGGTGCTTTTTTTGTGGGGCTTTGCCATCACCACTAGTGCCTGTCTATCTGGTCTATGTTTTCTGAAGCTGGCGAAAACCAGGTGTTTTAGGTGCAACCCACTCGTCATACAGTCTCGAGGTTGCTTCCGACGTTTTTGGTGAATGTGTCTTGTTCCTGCTATCGGCCAAGAGGCAAGACGAGCGTCGAAGTATGTCAATCTACCCTCACACGACTAGACCTCCCATTCCTAACAGATGATCATTATCAAGTTTTCAACCCCTTTCGTTTGCTGTCAATTTCTTTTTTGGCATGGAGATCAGCAAGCTGGAAGACACGATGGAGACGAACAACGCCGCGACCTGACCACAAAGGATGGCCCGCCTCACCTTCGGCGACTTGGCTTTCCTCATCCCTCTGCCCGCTGTTAACGATGACCCCACAGCCAATAAGCTGCAGACTATTGCAGACGTCACCAGGTCAGGCGGACCCCCTGGTGTGGGTTCTGCCAACCACTGCAGCACGACCCAGAGGGCTCTGCAGATTGCTCCCATCGAGCTCGAGTGGGTCCAAGCATGGAAGTCCAAGCTATTGCAGAGGCAAGAGGTGTGAACTGCTCAGCGTCAATAATGCGGCGTTTTCGGGGATAGCGGCCTGGTGGTTCCAGATGATATTCATGGCATCGGTGCACCGTTCGTACTTTGTATGTGAATTGGCTGTTATCGGGAAAAGGCGTCAAAGTGCTCCGTACTTGCGGCGCTCCACCTGAAAATGAGTGGCCCACTTGGCAACTTGAACGAGGTGCAAACCCGAAGTCGACATATGAATGTTGTACGGAGTACGGAGTACTCAGCTGCTGATGACACCCTCATGCGCGAGAGGGTCAGACTTCGCAGACTGGCTTCCTTTATCAATGAATTGCAAAGTGTACTCATTTCGAGATCGTCACATTGTTCTCAACTTCCCCGCCTAATATTGACTCATGGTTTTTTTTTTGGTTAGTGTTGTTGGAAACCGAGTTATTTCTGTCTCATTTTAATTGACTCCAAATTTGAAAATCATGATGTTTTCTTCTTTTTCACATACTCATTGAATTTCGACTGCAGATGACCGAGTAGATTATAAGAATGGGTTAAGGCTAGGTAACAGCATACAACATGCATACAGACATTTTAGGTAGGTAGGCCGACATTCCATTTACAAAGTACAATTATTAGCAAAGGGATTTTTATCCCTAAACTTGGAGCACGGAGTAACATGAACATAGCCCCGGAGGATTGCTGGATTGAGTGGATTCCAGCGTCTCGCGATACACATAATTGCACGCTAACGGGCAGCCGAATCAGCCAAGGACTCTTGGCTGAAAACGCGCGAACCTGAGACTTCAACACCAATGAGAGCATGTTTCAGACCCTCGGAACCAAATGACGCAGTAAGATTCTCCAATGTGGCCGAGTATTTCTGGCCGGTATTTTTCTTACGTCAAAGGAGCTGTTGTATTGAGTCTATCGGAAGACAGGCAAGGATTATACCTACATGTCTGGCATGCATCACGGCGTGTTGCATATCGCACAGATCTCATATGGCCACATTGTATTATTGGTTATTATTGTCATGATTTATACTCATACTCCATACTTCTCCGTATGTTGTATGCTGTACTTTGTATTATTATTCCATGCCCAGAATGTATGTACGTGTCTCCGTCCCATATTAGGCAATATATGAGTATATGAAACGCCTGGAATGAATATGAGGTCATGCAAATCAATGATCTGAGGAAGATCTCACCTTAACTCTGAAAAGAGAAAGGATCAATATAATACCAATACATACCAATTCCTAGTCACATCTAAGTGGTTGGACCCTGCTTGACCCTGTGTGTGATCGTCGTCAATAATTTCCCTTTTTAGGGTTGGCAATGTGGGGGTATCTGGCTTAGCGTGGAAAAATAATGGAAAATAATAATTCTCATTCCAATCAAGGAGGTACCTGGAGGGGACTTACCTTTTCCCTGACTCCACTACTATGCATCAAAGTACCTCTCAGGTACCCAGCAGGTACCCGAGTTTCCAAATCACACCTTTTCAAGAATGCAACTTATTAATAACCGTACTATACTCCGTGTACTCTGTACTCTCCTTGAAATAATACTTCCTTGTATTCCGTACTTCGTACTCCGTACTCCGTACTCGTACTCTGTTCTCTTTGTATATTTAGTTTCTTGTCTCCTTGGCAATACCTCGGCATTTTTAATTCCCCTTCCCTTTTCCCAAGGTTCTCTCCTGGAAGCTCCATTATTCGTCTCCTTAGGAGATGAAATAACATCCGCAGACCCTTTTTTTTTCTTTTTGGGTTTCCACTGAGACTAGCCTCATTTCCTTCACTGAAAAAAAGACCCTAGTAGGTATTGCGGGGACCCGTTTCCCTGGCTTCCGTTAACAGCCTTTTATCAGTTAATCTCCCACCCTTTTTTTATTACCTCCTTTCCCCGTAATGAACTTGCAATACATCTGCTCTCGATTATCCTGACTGTGAGGGCCTCCGCGGTCACTCTTGTTGGACATTTAATCCCCTTCGGAAATGGCGTTCAATGTGAGCCTTGGGTCGCTGGCCCTATTGGTGGTATTACTACAAACTGTATCGGCTCAGTTCTGCTCCTTCTGGAATAACGGATGCATCGACTCGCTCGCTCAAACTGCAATTCGCTTCGACCTCAAACCTCTTTTTCCGGACCCCGTCACACTCTACTACAGCTTTGATGCCAGTTCGTCCGGCAAGGGCGCAGGGCCTATGACCAAAACGGCCTTCTGGCTGGGATATCAAAATAAAAATATCAATTTGAGTGCTGTCGACTCGAATCGCACCTCGGAAATCGGGCTCAGGATCGGTAATTTAACCGGTACCCCTTCTGGGGGAAACAATGGATGCGATGGGATTTGGGGGGATGATTGTTCCCGTGATCTTAAGAGCGCCCTACAGATTGGCCTCTACCGTCTTGCTGTCTCGGGCGAGTACTATTCCAAGCCTCTAGAGGTCGTTCTCAATAAGATGTTGATGAAGCCTCCGCCGCTACCTTCGTGCCCGCCACCCACTCTCGATGTCGCGGCTATTCCAGTCCAAGGTATGTCAATTATTCTTCCCTTCCCAGTTTTATGTTCTAACCTTCCCAGATTTCGCCAGAGAACGAGTTCCCGATCAGAACGTCACCATCATGCCACCTGGCTCGGGCGCTTGGCCTTGGCAGGTCTGGTATCTCGATAATATGAACGCCCACAACCAAGCTTCCCAGGTGGCAGTTGGCATCATCAGTCGTGCCCCTGCTTATAATAGTGCACCACCGGACGGTCCAAACGACATCATGGTTGAACTTGTCTGCGTTCAGGCTCCTTCTAGTGGATCTTCCAAGGGCTCTCACGATTAAATTCGGCTGTGGAGGTCGATCTTCCGATCGTCCTCGGATTTTCCTTTTCCTTTATTCTATCTCTCTCTTTCTCCCCGAGTTATGAGTGAGGCACTGCGCCCTTTAACCTCTGGCGCTTCTCGGTACTTAACTCGCAGTTTTGTCTACACGTGCCAGGCCATGGTGACATTCCATCGCGGAAAAAAAAAACGCGAGTCCGAGCAAGATCCCAGGGTACTCATCTTCTTGGTATAAGTGCATCCGATAACAGGATTGAAATGCCAAAATACCTCCGCGCATCAATCCTTTTCTCCGTGCCCACGGCGCCCTCCTCGTCAGTTTGAATACTTGGCAAGTTCCAGATGAACAAGTACAGAGTTGATTGACTCGATGCACGCGAAGAAATGTGACAGTCCGGTATCCATGCTATACAGCGATATGGCAACACATGATACTTGTCACTCGCTTCTTGGGATCCACTCAATTACTCTTCATCGCTGCTGAATCGAATCTGTTGCCTCCGCCATTTAAAGAGTCGGCAAGCGCAATAGGCTTCGAATACACCAGCCTCCAGGAATCCAAGATACCAGCCTGCTCACTCAACAGCACGCGGCCCATCTGGCTCCCAAGCTTCACAACCACACGACACTCCGGGTCTCACTTGGATCCCGTTAGTCGTCATATACATTATTCACCTTCTCCCAATGACCCTTGGGATTGTTCAGCTGGGTAGTGTCCTTATTGTGGGGAGTTCCTACTTGGGCGCGAACATATCGTCCCCGTCTCCTCGGGCCAATCGCACTATCACCGCTCTCACGCTCCGAGACACAGGTAATCTGCCGTCTGCGAGTCAACCTTTTACCTACATCCCCGCCATGGATGGTGTAGTCAATACGGTTTGTCATGCATGTGTCTTCAGTCGCATGGGCCCATATCACATAGCAGTCGCGGAGAACAGCATTCAACGCTAAGCCTTTTTAGGATAGCTAGATCGGCATTTTGACTAGGCTCATGGGATTTTGAATTGTGATACCATTGTTTTTGATGTGTCAGAATCAAAGGTCTTTGAGGGACCGATCCTTCAATGAAGATTATGTATGCTAGATAGCAAGCCACTAAGCTTAGCAAATAACATGATTGTTCTAAAGTGGGTTGTCAACATCGCTTTCCACTCACATCCATGCTCTCCGCCACGTGCATCGTACCTGCATGAGGTCTATAAACATTGACTAAAATCACTATTGCTTTTGCTCCTTGCTTTTCTCCTTTGCTTTTCTTCTTTGCTTTTCTTTCAATTCTTCTCTGGTTTATCTCATTTGCCTGCATCAATGGGCCGCTCCGGTTTATTCAAGATGCAAGCCCTTCTAGCCCTCATAGGCACTACATATCTCCTCTTGAATGTTGCATTTGCTGTCTCCCTCCCAGGAGACTCATCCTATGTGGCTGCTGCTGGGTTTCCGACCTCTGTATTCTCGTATGATACTATTGACATTCCGGTGGCTCGGGCACATAGATATGCTAATATGAATGACAGATCCTACTATATTTCCCCAGCCCAGCCAACCCAACAACCCCAGCCGATCATCTATGATCCGGTGTTGGACCTCACCTTCCCTTATGAGTTGACGGATCCTGACAATATCCCGGACAATCAGGATGAGGTCTTCTTCCCCGTGCCCCGAACTCATATGTCTGCCAAGAAGAGGTATAGGCTGGTTCAGGAAGCACTATTCAATGTGACCAACATCATCAAGTCAAATAGCTCAGCAGACAACTGTACCAAATGCAAGAACGTCCTAGCCGCAGCGAAGCCTGCAGCGTTGCATGGCCCAGCATTTGTTCCGGATGCCATGGTCAGCCTGTGCAAGGCCTTCGGCTTCCATGCCGATGAGACGTGCGAGCAAGACTTTGCCACAAACACATTCGGCGCTATCTGGACTCAGGTGCTGGCATACGCTGATGTAGAAGGGTTGGATGGTCAATACATCTGCCATTCTCTGAGCAGCAAGTTTTGCAGCGCGCCAACGACCAGCCCGCTTGACACGTCCAAGCTTTTCCCCAAGCCCAAACCTGCAGATGCCCAAGTCCCCAAGGCAAGTGGGGAGCGGGTCAAGGTACTACATCTGTCAGACTTCCATCTGGATGCTCGCTATGCTGTCAACTCTGAAGCAAACTGCACGTCTAGCCTCTGCTGTCGGAGTGACAACTCCAATGACCTTTCCGAAGACAGTCCACTGCTTTCTGCATCTGCATATGGCTCCTTCCAGTGTGACACCCCATATGACTTGGGTCTTGCCGCTTTGCAAGCCGTTGGTCCTCTGACTGGCACTGGCAAAGGAAAACACGATGACCACCTTGCATGGACGATCTATACGGGGGATCTGGTATCACATGATCCAGCATCCCAGATATCCAAGGCGCTGACTCAGTATACGGAGACCAGTATCTATGGCATGTTCAAACACTATCTCTCTGGTCCTGTCTTTGCAGCACTTGGAAATCATGATACCAGTCCTGCAAACATTGATTCTCCTCATAATCTCCCTGGGCGTCTGGGGGAACAGCAGAGCTGGAATTATGAGCACATGGCTGGACTGTGGCGCCATGAAGGGTGGATTAGTCGTAAGACCGCCGATGAAGCGAAAACGCATTATGGCGGTTACTCTGTCAAGACACACTACGGACTGCGCATCATTGCATTCAACACTGGTATGTTGTCATCAACTCATTTGGAAAATATTCACTCACACTCGTAGACCTTTGGTACCAATCCAACTTCTTGACTTTCATCAACAGCACTGACCCCGATAACTCTGGGATGTTCTCCTGGGTGATTGAGGAACTGCAAAAGGCTGAGGATGCCGGTGAACGTGTCTGGATCATTGGCCATGTCCTTAGTGGCTGGGACGGAACCAATCCACTCCCCAATCCGACAGATCTGTTCTACCAGATCGTGGACCGCTACTCGCCCCACGTTATTGCCAACATCTTCTTCGGACATACCCACGAGGACCAGTTCATGGTTTACTATGCCAACAACGGGACTGTACAGAATGCAGAGAACGCACTCACTACCGGTTGGATCATGCCCAGCATCACCCCTCTGACCAACCTCAACAGTGGCTTCCGTCTGTACGAAGTCGACACGGGCGACTTCAACATCTACGAGGCATACACCTTCTACAGCAATGTGTCGGAGTACCCGGCTCTGGAGCACAAAGGTCCAACATTTGAGATTGAATATTCCACCCGCGATGAATATGGACCAGCAGCTGGGTGGGACGAGGATGCGCCGTTGAACGCAACCTTCTGGCACCGGGTTACCGAGGCCATGGAGAAGGACCTGGATCTTGTCAGTCTGCATAACACTTACCAGGGAAAGCAGAGTGTGAAGAGTCCCAACTGCACTACGGCCGCTTGTCAGAAGGCCAAGGTCTGTTACATGCGCAGTGGTAGTGCTGCATTGGGTAGGCAGTGCCTTCAAGGGTGAGTTGTATATGAGTGGATCTGAGATATATAAATGCTAACCTTTTCAGATACGGATCCGTCCAGAGCGCCTTTAAGGAAGATTAAGGAAGACCAGTGAAGGGTCGTTGTGCTAATTGGTGCTAGTCGAGCATACCTAGATAGTTCTACTACAATTGAATTTTATCTTTATCTATGCAAGCAGCTCTAGTGATCATCCATGTATTCATATGTATTGTAGTCATCAGAAGGGAATTGAACCCCAAATAGTCATTGGAATATAGAGCGATAAAATTGGATTATTTTAAATCAAATACGGGTTCCATAACTCAGGTAATTGGAGTGTGGTACTAAAACCGCCAAAGTCCTCTTTTCTTTTGGACATTCTTAGTTTTTAGTTTAAACAAGATTGATTCCATATTTTCTTTTTGATTGATTTGAATCATCTCATTGTGATTATCGAGTTAATACATATAGGTACTAAGCTATATATGTACTTACAAAGCACTGTGCCTTGGAATGCTAAACTATGTCAATGAGGGGAAATTCACATGGAAATGATAGACTTGATGAATGGAACCTGGATCCATCCCTATACAAAACTGGAATGTTGAAAAAAAATTGAAAAAATCAGGTGGATCAAAAGAAAAAAAAAAGCAAGACCTCAAAGAAAGACTCTAGTCAAGAACTCATCATTGACCAAAGTGCAACCTTCATGATTTCATCTCCAATATGCTTCAGCTGTACATTCCAACGTAGTCCAATCGGGCTGCTCGTACCCGGATGCATGACGTAGCAACGAGTTTTAGGTTCTGGGGATGTTGCTTTTCCATGTCATCACTGACCTCCGGAGCATCCGATTTATAACCTCGTCGTTTTCCCTGGGCTTTTATATACTGTTGAATCGACCTATAGGCTATTCTTTACTCTTATCCTATACCTTTACAATATACCTTCTCGCGATCTACGCGACATCTTTTTGACCTCGACCTCTATCTAAATCTAATCTAAATCTACAAAAAATGGGTCTTAGAGGTGTGCAGTTAGGCCTTAGAGCCTGGGAGGTATGTGCAATCGCGACAGCTAAAAGCTACAAAAACGAATACTAACTAAACTCGCAGTTCTTATGGTCCCTGCTCATTATGGCCCTCATCGGTAACATGATCGCCGAAGCCTTCTCCGGGAACCCTGCGACCGTGAACTACTCAATCTACACAGCGGTGTTCTCAATGTTCTCGCTGATCTACCTGATCCCGGCCTCGTTCAACATCGACTGGGCCGGCCACCCGATCATCATGATCGTCCTCGACGCACTGAACTGCGTCTTCTTCTTCTGCGCTGCCATCGCACTCGCTGCGAAGCTGGGGTGCCACTCCTGCAACAACCAGGTAAGTTGAACTGAATATAATAGCGATCGTAGTGAATACGCGAGATGAGAGTCAATCGACGCTAACCCTTCTACAGGACTACCTCAAGAGCAATGAGATCACCAATGGCTCAAACAACATGACCAAGCGCTGCCGTGAGGCCCAGGCCTCTGTTGCTTTCCTCTGGTTCGCTTGGGCGGGCTACATGGCCTCTGTCATCGTCTCTGTGTTCATCTCCCGTTCTGCTGCCGGCCCCTCACGCAGCCGTACTGGCAGCCGCCGGGGTGGCCGCCCCAACATGACCCAGGTTTAAATGGGCCTGTCATGGAAGGTGGGCGCGTGATGTAAACTGAGCCTTAGGCTTGGTTTTATCGCTCTCGTCTGTCCAGGTTATGTACAACCTAGTAATTTGGGATACTATTGGACCATGGTTATAGGTATGGTTCTGGTTCTGGTTAATGGCGTTGAAGGGGTGATGTCGGTATACGGTTGAGGTGTTTGTAGGAAGGTGTTTGTACGATCTATGAGCTCGGGGCTCTTGGTTTTCATGTCTTCCATGGTTTCATACCTGCAACGATTCGACAGAAACGCTGCCTCTTTTAGTCTCTACTCGATCATGAGAGAGATATTCTGATACTTAATGTGCTACTATTTATTTCATTAATAATATTTGTTTTGGTCAGTCGCCTTCGGCATGTTTATATATCACTAGGAAACCTGTCAGACCAAGTGGCCAGTATGATTGTATACGGTGACATGGTTATTTCCTCCTCTCTTGCTTTTCTCCCACCTCGATTACCTTTTCGGGTGCTTGAAGCCAAAGGGTACCCGACGATCCCATATTCAAAACTTAATCCACCTTTTGCAATTGGCCGAGCAAAGTATGCCCAATGAGCCGCCAACAACTATTACTAGACGAGGTGTAAATGAATCTATAGACATCCATTGTTCATGCTCATTTACCAATATCACTCTTGCGTGCCAAACATATCCTGTGAAGCAATACCCAGGTTCTTCCCTCGTATCTATCAATGCAAAAACAACGGTTCTTTAGGGTCAAGACTTACTGTCTTGGAGATGTAGAGTCTTATATGGTATTCCATGATGTACGGGTTACCAAATAGTCTACCTGATTTTCATCAACGATGATGTAGTTGACATAAATGCAACTATATATCTTCAAAACATGTACATTACAGCACGCATAGGTCGATAATCAACAAATAAAAAAAGACCCGACCGTAGAATTATCATGTTTCTATTATAGCAAGTTTCTAAATGCGTGGATGAGGCTCTGATGCTAGTTTTGCTAAGATTCCTACATGATGCATGGTTCCGAGAGCTGTAGATGCATGTGCTCCGTCATGGAGGGTTGACTCATTCAAGGCCCCGTGCGCAAAAAACAACACAAACCCCTGGGATATCAGGAACTTCTAACAGAAACAAATATCTATTGGAATCAACTCCATATCGAATCTCCACGTTTACATTGTTAAGCTAGGGCTTAGCGGGGCAAAACTCCCCTCCGCTCCACCCAAAGAATTTCTCCAGAGCTTCCCGCCCTGACACTTTTCTCCATCCCTTCATTTCACATCTCCATCAATATGCCTGTTCAGTAAGATTGTCTTGCAGTCACCCTGTATTTGCATCCACTGACCCCCTCATTAGCTACCTGATTCTGCTCTCCCGACAGGGCAAAGTGGTATGCCTCGTCACCTACCCAACTACATAACACCTGGCCCCGACTGACAACATTTCTCTAGCGCCTTGCCAAGTGGTTCACCACTCTTTCCCCCAAGGAGAAGGCCAAGATCATCAAGGATGTAACCCAGCTAGTGCTGTCCCGCAGGACGCGGATGTGCAATTTCTTGGAATACAAAGGTGGCTTTCTATCCCCGCACGACCCCCTTTCGCTGACGAGCTGGAATTGGACTAACTGGGATTGCACTACTAGACTCGAAAGTTGTTTATCGTCGCTACGCTTCTCTCTTCTTCATCGCTGGCTGTTCCTCAACCGATAATGAGCTGATCACCCTCGAGGTGGTGCACCGCTACGTCGAGCAGATGGACAAGTATTACGGCAACGTCTGCGAGCTGGACATCATCTTCAACTTCCAGAAAGCATATTTTATTCTCGATGAGTTATTGATTGCGGGGGAAATGCAGGAGACTAGCAAGAAGAATGTTCTTCGCTGTATCAGCCAGCAGGATAGTTTGGAAGATATGGAGGTGAGTTTAGACAAGTTTCTCTTATCTTCATGGGGATTGCCACTTTCTTTTATAAAAAGAACCTCCAAAGAGGTGCTGCATGGCTATATTTGGGCCCTTTATCCCACCCCCTTCTCCCACCCCTTTCTCCCCCAGCCATGGCCAAGTTTCAGCCGGGCTAATTATTCCCCAGGTTGAGGAAGATGTGGTCACCAAGATCATGTAACACAAGCAAGCAGGATTCTTGCCTTTCGTTATTTTGCGGCGTACATAGGAGCTTATTTCTTTCCATCACGATACTAATCAATACAACTTGTTCTCACTCAGGATTCGGAAGATATAACACGCAACCTGGATAAAGTTGGTCTGTGAGGTGACTCTTATCCATGGGTTGACTGCTCGTGAGGTCAGTGCGGGTTCCTACTGGACCACGCCTTCCACACGTGACTGTTTCCGGAATCTCCCCTCTTGGATCACCTTACGGAACATCCTAGGACCATCCCCTCTTGCTTCATTTTCATCTCTTTGTATACTCTCCTCATTTGACATTGGTGTTGACTTGCTATAAGACCCGCGATCTGCCTTAGTTCGCGTTGTCCCCCCCTTATCCCTCCCCTGTTCTCCGTTATCGCTGATCGACATCATCGAATCTCCACCTTCGGTTCAATCACCCGATTGTATTACCGCTGCTTCCCCTCGCCTATCTCTCTCTTTCTCTCTACATCAGAACAGACACTCGAGTCTCTCTCTTTGAATCGCAGACCGTGACACGTCATCTGAAGGCGCTTATCGGCTTATCTCGGGATTATCTCCACTACCCCAGTCTAATCTCACGATGAAGGTAGACTCACAACCCCAACGTGTCTTTTGATCAGTTTGGTTTACTGACCCTCCTCGTGATATAGTTTTTACCCCTTCCAGAGTTCGAGGACGTGACGAGTTCTCTTAATTTTGATACGACCGACTGCCACATCGTTGGCGGCTGTGATATTTACACCACCAAAGCGGCACGCTCCGATCGGAAACTTTACAACCATATCGAACAGTCGCTCGAGGCTCAATATGAATCGGTTCTTCGATTTTCGGCTTCACTTTCACCTCCAAATGCACACGATGCCGCCGAGACCCTCAATCTATCGCGATCTAGCCCGTTCGGACCCCTGAGCGACCATTCGAGCCGACGGACCTTTGCCTATCTGATTGCCACTCTGAACGCAAGTCATCCAGATTACGACTTCTCACATGTCCTGCGCCCCACTGATTTCCGACGCGAACGGAATTTGAAGCGCGTCATGAACACGGTCGACTCAACACTGCTCAACCTGCGACCGCGCGAGAACACCAACCTGTCTCCTGCATCGCCTGCGACGCTTTCTGGATCGTACACAGCAGGATCATCTTCTGCGTGGGGCCCGCGGGTGTGGAAAACGATAGATGAACACATGTCGCTCAAGGAGTGTTCGATCTACTCGTATTCCCCAGAGGAGGACCCATCCGATGCCGATGATGGGGCTATCTGGAGTCTACACTACTTTTTCTTTAACCCAATTCGCAAGCGTGTCTGTTACATCTTCCTGCGCGCGATTCCCATACTCAGCCACACCCCAGACGAGATGGCAACTACGCCTACTGGGAAGCGGACCTACGACGACGGATATCTCACGCCGGATCTCAGTTCCAGCAAGCGTGCCAAGTTTTGGTTTGGAGAACGCGCTAGATCGACCCTTATTGCTAGTGATAGTGATGATGAGATGGACCGCCCTCCGAAGACGATTCGAGCTATTGCGGACGACTATGACACTTATGTGATCAGTGACGATGATGATAATCTGCCAAACAGCCGCCGGGGAGTCCGCGCAATGAGTGAGGAAATTGCGGACTCAATGGAAGTCTAAGGTATACCAAATGATTTGGCTTGTTTGCTTTTGTTTTCGTTCGTTTCTTGTATGTCTTCTTTTGGCCCCGTTGGTCGGGTATGATCTTTCTAGCCGGAGGTGTTGGGTTAATGTTTTATTTTTTTTGGACTGGCGCAATCAACTTGCATGGATTTTTGTTCACAAGGGGCGCTGTCGAATGGACGTTGTTGAACGGCCAATATTGACATGATGTCCCTCAACTTTCTGTGACTTACTGCCTAATATCACCCATGTCTATTTCTATTTCTTTTGGATTTATGCTGCCTCATGCAGATTTCTTAATTTTAGGAAGTAAGCTATCATTCGCCTCTAATGCTATTACTGACACTAATCTGACAAAACATCAAAGAGATAGACTAAATTTAGATATCTTAGTATGATTTAATTTACTCCATATACAAGTAAACCTCCCTCTTTTAGCTACTTATTTAAGCACTCTTTTAATAATATTTTTTTCGTCCTAGTCCAAGCATATAAATCAAATCAGAACAATGCGGCAAAAAGGGCGACTAAATGATATCATTTTATAGGTGGATGAGGCTGATTGACAAGGGTCTTTAGTTCCTGGCACGGCCATGTGGCGTCAATATGTATATTGCTGATCCAAACTAGTAAGACCAAGCCAAATTCAGTAGTACAGTCCATGGGTGGTTATCAGTGATTACCTAGTGCATCGTACTTTTACCGTTGACATCTCATTCGGGCATATAGATCAGACACGTGGTCCGTGCATTGGGGAAAGCTGTCCATTCTCTCCCTTCCACTTCATCATCCTCCCCATTTGATTATATCCATACAATTCAAACCATTCATTATGGCCGACGACGAGGAGCGCATCAAAGCCGAGAAGCTCGCAGCAGCCAAGAAAAGGGTAATTACCCGGGAGTGATGAATGACGTTGTTTTGGTCGTTAACTTGACTGTTGTTGTTTAGGTTGCCCAGCTCCAAAAAAAAAAGAAGGCCAAGAAGACTCCCGCCACTGGAGCGGAGACACCCAAGGAGGCAGATATTTCAACAGAGACACAACCTGGCCAAAATGTCCCGAGCCCAGAAACACTGCAGGCAGACGCCCCCGCGGAGGAGAAGCCAGGCATGCAAGACGAGCCGGGCGCGCAGACCGAGGCTGCAGCCCCCGAACAACCAGAGAAATTAGAAGAATCAGCCCCGCAACTTGAGACTGATACGAATATCGAGTCTCCTACTGAACCTATGCCCCCAGCGCCCACATCTCCTGATCCAGAGACTGAGCCGCTCCCAGCCCGGCTCGATACACCCCGCGCCAACCACGGCCGACAAGCCTCCCTGTCAATCCAGTCAAAGATGCGCTCATCTTCCTTCCGCAAGACCTCCGTCTCACAGGGCAGCGTCTCCCCCTCCCCCTCTGCTACGCTCAAGTCCCCCGCACAATCATTACCACCTCTAACCGGGGATGGGGAGTCGGTTCACGAAGTGTTCCGCAAACAGTCTACTAAGATCGAGGAGCTTGAAAAAGAAAATAAACGCTTGGAGAAGGATCTATCAGATGCAACTATGCGCTGGCGCAAGACTGAGGAGCAAGTGGAGGATCTGCGGGAAGCGAGTGTTGATGGCGTGGAGTTGAGGGAGCAATTAAAGAAGGCAGAGGAGAAGGCTGCAAGCATTGAGTCTTTGGTATGAAACCTTGTTTCCTGTGATACCTATCTTTGTTAACCCGTGGGATAGAAAGAGGAAATTGCTTCTCTCCAGCGACAGAACTCACAGCTCCAGACCCGGTCACATCGAAACACAAGTACTACAGAGTCACCGCCAGCCGACCTTGTTCGTCAGCTTGAGTCCAAGTCTGCTACTATTGAGTCCATGGAGTTGGAGATCTCAAACCTCCGCGCCCAAGTCACCTCCCAAACGTCCTCTAACGATGCACACGAGTCCCAGGTGGCAGCGCTAGAGGAGAAGGTTTCAAAGACCCAATCAGCACTAGATCAATCACAGCGTGAGCTGGCAGACACTAAGCAGGCATTGACACGGGCCTCCGAAAAAGCAGTTAAGGAAGGCGTCGACAAGACTTCCACCGAAACGCTGATCAAGAATCTCCAGCGTGAGATTGAGGAATACAAGAACGAAAAGAGCGAATCGGAAAAGAAGATCGAGACGCTAGACAAGAAACTTCAGGCAATAGGCAATCTCCACAAAGAAACTGAAGCCCGGCACCAAACACGGTTACGCGAGAGCGAGAAATCCGATAAAGAAATCGCTGTCATGCGAAAAAAGATCGCCAGCATTGAAAACGAGAATCTTCGCCTACGCGAAGAGAGTGATCGGATTCGGACTCGCCAGACCAGTGGAGGCGCCGACGATGACGCCCTGGACGAGCTCGAGGACGAGGAACGCCAGCGTCTTGAGCGCCGCATCCGCGAGCTGGAAGGCGAGGTCTTCGATCTGCGCCGCGGCGTCTGGCAAGAGAGGCGCCAGGAGATGGAATACTACCCGGATGACGGACCTAGCCCTGCCTCCGGCGATGCAGCCAACGCATTTGATGACGTTGATCTCGTCGGTGGAAGACCCGAGCATGCCCGTCGCCGCAGCATGGCCCAGCAGCAGCACTCGTCCTTCTCAACGGTGCTTTCCAGCGGCTTTGCTGCCTTTACAGGAGCTGCTGGCAACCGGGTCCGCGCTTCATCGTCTAACCCGTCTCACCCCCCTGGTACCCGTGGTAGTCTCGAGCTTGTTTCTGAAGAAAACTTTGATGATGAGTTCGATGAAGATGCATTTGCGCGTGCGCAGGCTGAGGAGGAAGGCCGTAAGCGTGTTGAATGGATGCGTGACATCAAGAGCAAGCTGCGTGACTGGAATGGCTGGCGTCTGGATCTGGTCGACAGCCGTGCCGGAGCAGAAGGTGCTGGCGTAGGCATGGGTGAGATATTTGAGGTTTAGTTTAGTTTACTTTTTACATCATGTGTGCGGGATGTACGATCATTTACTATATACCAGGTCAAACTCAACTTTACTGGAGTTGGCCAATGAACGTTTGATGCAGAGAGTGAACTTCTGATGCAATTGACGTAGGATGTCTGATGGAACACGATATAATAAGACAAAAAAACATTCGAACTGAAACAAAACCTAAATAATCCTAGTCCGGCTTAATCCATAGATGACTTGCCTGTCAAATATCCCTCAGATGACCTACTCTTCCGACGGCCCCAGATGTCACCAGCCCAACTGCTAATCTGATAAAGCCAGCCACCAGTAACAAGCACACCCGAAATGGTGTTGATAACCCGAATCAGCAGCGATAAAAAGCTCGCCCTCTCCTCGCTGACCAGCAACAGGATCGGCTCAATGTTATACTTGAAGAAGATGCCCGGCACAACCATCGGCGACTCAGGAATCACGCTAGACTGGCTCGTTGCCGCGTACTGGTTTGTGAAGACCGTATTACGCCCGTAACGCGCAGCCGCAGCGTCTGGTGAGCGCGTGTACGCGTCCAGCGCGCCCTTTCCTCGACTGTACAGCGTCGGCACAATAGAGAGGAAGTACTGGAACTTGTAGTAGTGCTCCTCGCTCTCAGCGATCGTCTTATCGAGGGGGTTCTGCAGGGTCGGGTAATGCGGCCCGAAGGAGAGCTCCGTGATCATGTGGGAGAAGTTGAAGGCTGGGAAGAGCTGTTAGCGATGTTGCACGGGATAGAAATAGCTTGGGGGAAAAAAAAAGACACATACACGAGTGATCCAGATGCGGCGCGTTCTCGCGGTACCCGTGGCCACGCGCGGTGATGTGGAAGTCACCCTGCACCTTGTTCCCCTCGAGACTTCCGTAGATGCGACAGGCGTCTGGGACGATGCCGCGGCGCATACGCGGGCCCTTGGGGAACTTGCGGCGCGGGTTATGGCGCACCTCGCCGAGGACGTGGCCGACATGGGCGTCGGCCTCTTGCTGAGCGAGACGGTCGGATTCTTCGTGGGAGAGGGTTTGGTATTCGTGGGCGCCGTCGTTGGTCTCGTAGTTGCGCTTTTGCATCCAGAGGAGCCAGTTTGTGTCGTCGCGTTTGAGGAGCTCGCCGGCTAGGATGCGGTCGCCGGCTGCGTCTTGGATGTTCACGCGGAGCTGCTCGCAGGGCATGTGCACGACCATGTCGAGGTTTAGCTGGAGCTCGTGTGAGACGCCCTTTTCAACGCTGAAGTGGTAGTTTTCGGTGCCGCGCCACCAGGTTTTTAACTCGGACCAGCTGAAGATCGTGCATATGAGGAGAATTAGGACGGTCCATTGGCCGCCACTGCGGGTTGGGGTTGTGTAGGCGGCTTTTGTTTTGGCTGGTGAAGGTGAGTAGCTTGTCTAGATGCTTGAACTTCGAGGTACTCACGAAAGGCGTCGAAGGTCTTCAGGGCAGCCAAACCAGACTTTTCCCCGAAGGCATCTTCGTCCAGGCCCTTAGATTCAAAGCCATTCATTGCGAATCAATTACCCATGAAGACCAATGGAAGTTGTTGTCGGAGAAGTGGAGTAAATAAGATAAGATGAGGCCAAGTAGCCCGATTGCCCAGTGGGGACATGCCAGTCTTCGTACAACGTACTCCGTACGTATGTTGTATATCGTGTCTTCTTTATATTACTATGTACTTAGTTCCTCTATTAATAGAAGTCCCTGTCTAATAAAAAATCACATAGTCATTAATTCAGCCATAGAAGCCACTTGACACAACGTTAAATCGCTCTACCCATGAGCAACACATCGTAAACTCTTAAGAAATGCAATGAGAGGTAACAATGTACAAACACAGGGACCACACATGGCCCTGAATGGGGATCATCAAGTATAAGAAAAACGAAGGGATATGCATAAGCAAGACCAAAACATAAGGTATAAGCAATACTCAGGTCATCATGGGCGCAATGCAAATGCAGGAACAAGGGGGTATAACATGAATGCATCTCAAACAAAATGCTGACATGACAACCACCCGATGCAAGGATGAGAAAGTAACAAAAAAAGAAAACAGAAGGATTAGTATTACAGGGCATTCAGCAAGAAAAAAGGAACGTGCAAAATCATTTCCTCTGTCGGCTAGTTAGCATCCCATTCTCTGGCCCTGGTTCAGGTCGCTGGCCTAACTCACCAGGCTTGTCGCAGCCGCCGCAGTAGCGAGGTCTGGCTTCCCGCTGATACTCCGCGCCGAAACGCGAGGGAGCGCGGACCCAGCAGTAGTAGAATTGCTGGACCCTCGCTTGCCAGGGCTGGACGGAGGTCCATTTACAGTCGAGTGTCGTTTGCCACTACCCTTGACCGGGGAGTTGGCCGAGACATCGCGAGTGCGCATGAACCCGCTCTTCAGCGTTGTGCCTGGAGGATCAGGGAGAGGACGAGCCGCGGACGTGACACCTCGCTTGGGGGGCGAGTTTGATGTATACATCCTGGGCCGAGGGGCCTTGACACCAGTGAGGAACTCGTGCTTCAATGCGTCATGGGGCGAGAGCCGACGAGAAGGATCCCAGCGAAGGCAGCGAGTAAGGAAGTCGAGGAAGGCTTCATCGTCACACTTTAATGCCTGTCGGAGCTCCTTGGTACTCGGACGACGTCTGCGTCCCTTGGATGAAACAGTCAAACGCGGCTTGCCCAGAGAATCAAAGAACAACTTCTTGCGTGAGCTCTTCTCAATAAGGTGTTTTTCCGGAGGACCAAAGACTTCCATGATGCAAGCAAGCTGTTCTTGCTCATTCTCTCCTGGGAAAATAGGATAACCGGTGAACAGCTCAGCCAAAATGCAACCTAAACTCCACATGTCTATCGGCATGCCGTACGACATTCCGAGGATGACCTCGGGCGAACGGTAGAAGCGACTCTGGATATAAGTATAGACCTTTTCATTCTCAAAGCAACTTGAGCCAAAGTCAATGACTCGGATTTCGGAGTTCAACGGGTGAACGAGAAGAATGTTTTCGGGCTTCAAGTCACAGTGAATGACTTTCTTCGCATGCAACAGCACAAGACTGCTTAGCATCTGCTTGGTGAAAACACGGATCAGCTTCAACGAGAAGCCCCGGAACTCATGGGCCTTGATGAATTCATAAAGATTCATGCCAAGGAGTTCTGTTGAAATACATAGATGACCACGGAAATAGAAGCTTTGGGTGAAGTTGACCACGCTATGCTTGCCATGAGGATCCCATTCCTTTAGTTTTTGTAGGAGATTGACCTCAATCAGGGCTTGCTGGTGGAATCGCTTCTTGTTGCGAATGATTTTAATCGCAACCAGAGCCCCAGTCTTGTGGTCGACGCATCGAACGACCTGGCCAAAACTACCCTTGCCCAGGACATCGACAACTTCGTACCGGTAAGCCAGATGGTCCCCGATGATAATGTTATAATCGCCACGATCATCATCGTAACCAAAGTTGGCCGCACTGGAGTGGAGATCTCCAACATGTTTCTTGGCAGTATGGGTACCGCAGAAGAAAACATCGCGATAATCGATGATCTCACCGCGTTCAAATATGTTGAGCGTTGCCATCTTCAAGGCCTGAGCGGGACTGACACGATCTTTTGGACCAGCCTTGCGGCGCAAGTCGTCTAGCACACGCGCCGCTTTTTGAAAGTCTTTGCGTTTAGACCCAAGTCGCATCATCTCTTCATCTGCAATCGCCACGTCTGGATCAACAGTGCTGTCAATGGGCCGGGAAGCAGCCGCAACACTAGATCTAGCGTGATTGATCATCTTGTGAACAGGAGAGATGTACGTGCTCTGCACGCGTTTAGAGCGGTCGCTTTCGGCCGACTCATTGGAGGGGGTTGGCTCCAGGGCAAGACTTTTCTCGCTACTGACACTTGGTTTCCGAGTCGTCGGATTTGTAATACTTGAGATAGAAGATTGTCGGCGAGGATTGAGATAAGATGGCTTGGGGTTGGGGCTCGTCGAGTTGACTGAACACAGGTTGTTCCATGTTGCAGAGGCTGGAAGTTTAGGCGGCGGCATATGATTGTACTTGGCAGGATCAGCATCGGCTTCTGCCTTTTGGGGCTTCGAGTTGCTGCGAAGCCGTGCCACCTTAAGCCGTTCCCGAAGAGAGGTGCCGGACGCAGCGACAGTGACACTCTCAGGATCCGAAGGCGTCGATATTTGACTGAGCCGTTCTGGAGCGGGGGTGAAAATGGCACTTTGCGTTTGAGGCCGTGGACCATTCAGCTTTTGTGCTTGCGTCTGGTTCGAGTAGTCGGCGCTGACCTGGTGGCGGAGATGGTTGAGCTCCGCACCACTCTTGGGCAGCGTATATGAGGCATAGGGAGAAATGTTGCGAGCTGCACTTGGCGTTTCAAACGAGTCGAACGCGCTCGTACTGCTTGAAGCTCGCAGCGCGGCGGTTGATGAGCTGACGGCAAAGTGAGAGGTGCTGCTTCGTGCTTGAGTGAGGGGCAGTTGGTCATCTTCATCACGGTACCAGAAATTCGCCTTGGACGCTGTCATCGGAGTACTGGGCGTTTTTGAAATCACCTGGTTGGAGGGGGTGTGAGCTTTGCGCTCGTTGTCCCTGTCCTTGAGTGCCTCAATTTTGGCCGCCATGGGTGTGCCCAAAGGCAACAAATTTAGCGGGGGCAGTTTCAAGGGCTGCAAACCCTTCCGTCCTGCTAAAACAGTAGAAGTTCGGGATCGCGCATCAGGAGTTTTTGTTTCGGCATGGTCAATTTTCTCAACTTGGGCGGTAGGGTGCGCTTCGGCATCTGAATCTTTAATGTTTAGGGGGCTCAAATCCACAGGAATACTTGATTTTCTGGGCGCAGGGAAGACAGGCGCATCCAGTTCACCTTTAGGCGACTCGTAGGCCTTGGGAATCGCTGGAACCGGCGGTACTTCTTCCCCGTTGGAGTTTGCTTGCTCTGTGCGTGGCTTGGGCGTAGGGAGTCGGGACGAAGATAGATTTTGGGACAGCCGGTTTTGAAGAGAGCTCCCAGAAGTTCGCGCCGAGTTATAGCTGGTGCTTGAGGAGACAGACAACCCCGAACTGTACGACTTGCGATTTGGGTCAGGCGTGGTTCGGTTCGAGGAAGGTGTGACGCTTTTCCTCGGAATTTGAGAGGGAGATTGAGTTGATGATAGAGGACGGATGGGCATAGGTTCTGTCTGGGTGGGAGGTGTATGTGGCATCGGAGGGGCAGGAGGCGCAATCGACATTCGCTTCAGTCGTCGTGCGTCAGTGGGACTGATTGTTCGAGCACCAAGTCCAGTGGCATGTGGCGGCATAACAGAAGCCCGCTTAGAGGCAGAGGAAGGAGTCGCCACGGCGCCAGAAGGGTTTCTTACCGGGGTCCGCACGGCGTTGGTGGAATTTGATCGTGTATGGTCAATGACTCCAGTGGCAGTCAGAAACTGACTACGGGGTTCCCTTGGGCTGGGCTGGAATGATTTTGCCTTGAGGTTTCGAACAGAAGACGGAACTTTAGCACCAGACTCTGGAAGCCGAGGGCGAAGCAAGTTATTTGCCGAAGCGGTGTCAGCAGTGCTGATTTTCCGAGCACTTAGACTGGCGCGCCTGGCCGAAGCATTGGTAGGCGCAAATGCTCCAGAGCTGATAGATTTGCGCGGGGCCCTTGAAGCACTTCCGGCAGACGGCTGGGCTATACTCTGGCGGCGAGCGCGGGTATTGGCAGAAGATGCTGTGAGCCCTGCAGCGGCGTTCGAACCATTTGGACGTTGCACTTCACTCTTTCGTCGAGCGGTAGGACCCCGTGTACGGTCTGATACATTACCCGCATACGTGTGGTTTTCCCAGGGATTCGTCATAGTGCCCGTTTCACGGTTCTCACCTGAACTGCCGCTACCGGGCATGGGGAAGTGGTTCAAGCTGGGCTCACCCACGATGCTGTTATGAAACTCATCAAAGTTGACTGGCGTTGGGAAATCCGTATTGTCTGCATGGTTGGGATCGGCCTTTGACAGGTTGCCCACACTCGTAGATCGAAGGTTGAAGCTTTTAGTTGAATCAATCGTAGAATCAACAGACGAGTTCCCAGAGTGAGGGTACGGGGCAGGTTTGCTAGATATCAAGTTAGTTCAAAGTCAATCATGAGAGGAGAACTAAGCATACCTCCATCGCGAAGCGTCTTGCGGTCGTGGGCCCTGAGGGACCCTTTGGTCACGAATTGAAAGTCTTCTCCTATTCACCCCACCTGCGCGCGGTCCGGCGACTCCATTTGAGGTGTCAAAATTGGTGTTGTTCGAGGGGAAGTTGGTCGAGGCCGACTTTTGCAGGCGCCTGCGGGCCGGAGCTTCTGCTGTTTCTTGTTAGTATCTAGCTGCACCTTCCCGGCATCTCAACTCTTACCTCCCGAGCCCGAATCATCGTTTGGGAGATTGTATGCTGCTTCGGTCCGCGTTTGACCCCTCCCCGGTGTTTGGGGCTTTGTCGGCATTGTTTAAGCTCTCGCGCGTTTTCAGAGGAAAGTCGGAAAAGGAGAGGACTGGACCGTGCCAGATATGCGATCGCAATTGCATTCAGGAGAAGTGCGAGGTCTCAAACCAGGAGATACTTGAGCACCGTCGCGCGACTCTTGAAAACAGCTACCGTTCCATTGCGAGCTGTGAAAGAGCAATGAGGGCCAGGGTAGGTTCTCTTTGACAAATAATTTTGGGGGAAGCAGGGTTGCTGGGGCAAGTCCACTAAGGCGGTAACTAGAGGGAAAAAGAAGGGTAATTGGGGGGGGCACAGGTGGATTTTATAAGTCACCCTATCAACAAAGGGGATTTTTAGATAAGATTGAAGTTGAATGTGAATAATCACAGAGAGAATATATGTATATTAAAGAGAGAGAGAGTAAAAAAAACACCAGTCAACAAGACGAATGAAGGCCAAGTTGTTTTCTTTTTTAGTGTGAACTATCAAGCCTCGAGGGCCCCTGATGCAAGAGGGATTATGTCAGCCTCTTTCCCCGTTGATCGGCAAAGCATGTGCTTTGGGCTCTGACAGTTAGAACATTCCCGACTTGCTTCTTATTTCTACTCTCTTTAAGATTCCTATGTATAACCATGGATGGATTTACAGAGGCCCTGAGCGACCAACACAAGGTTCCAACAAAACGGAATAGACATGGTTCGCCAGATAGTTCGCATTCGAGATCTTCCTCCCAATCCAAGAACTCACTGCAAGATCGCCTATTTACAAAGTATGCTTGAAATGACTTTCTTCCTGGATAGATGCAATATATCTGTGGGGAATTTTATCAGCTGACAACTGCAGGCTCCTCCAACAAGTCATTCCAACGGACGATGAGGATGAAACCGATTCATTGGGAGACAAGGCCCTTGCCTCTCCTAAGAAACCGGCTTTCAGTTTGCCTGTAATGGCGAATAATTTCCGTCGCTTTAATGCAAGGTAGGACTGAATCATCCCCTGTGATATCAGCCAAAACTAAAACCACTGTAGAATCGGTGTGGTCTTTCTGTTCCAGAGTCGTGTTGAGCAACTATTCACTTGGGACACACCAACCCATACCATCTCTTTCCTTTTTGTCTACTCTTTCATCTGCTTAGAACCTCATCTACTTCTGGTTTTGCCCCTGGTGGTTCTCTTGCTCTTTATAATGGTGCCGGCATTTGCGACTCGCCACCCACCACCCCCAAGCACCTCGACGTCCAGCACTACTCCTTACTACTCCTATGATGGACCAGCCCTGGCACCAGCCACAACTATTAAGCCAGCCCCAGAGACTTCCAAGGATTTTCTTCGGAACATGCGAGATCTACAGAATTGCATGGCTGATTTCTCAGACGCCCACGATGCAGCTATCTCTGCTGTTGCACCACTGACGAATTTCTCTAATGAGAAGCTTTCTTCAACTCTATTTCTCGGATGCACAATTGCCACAGTAGTATTGTTTATCAGTGCGCATCTGCTGCCCCTCAAAATTGTTCTGCTTGTTGGCGGCAATGCGTTGATTCTCGCCATCCACCCAGCGGTGGGGCAATTCATCTCCGCTCTGATGCAAGATATGACTGGAGATTCCATCGATACAGATTCGGATGAGAAAGATGGGTTCGCCTCGTCGGTCCCTGCAGACCCGTCTGCAGCCATGTCAGCCATGGAAAAGCTTGCAGATATCTCCTTAGACACATATCCCGAAGAGCGGGAGGTGGAAATTTTTGAGCTGCAGCACCGGGCCGCAGGAACGTCAGAGTCTGGGTGGGAGAGCTTCCTTTTCAGCCACGCCCCATACGACCCGTTATCGCCATCTCGGATCGCCGGGGACCGACCTCGTGGATGCCGATTCTTTGAGGATGTCCGTGCCCCACGTGGGTGGGCTTGGAAGAGCAAGAAGTGGGAACTCGATCTAGACTGCCGTGAATGGGTGGTGGAGCGCATGATCACCAGTGTTGGGTTCGAGGTTCCAGGTGTAAATGCCGCAGGCAACGCCATCGTCGGAGAAGTTGGTGGCTGGGTTTGGGACTTGCCTCCAACTCGGCAGGAATCAGATGACGATTTGACGTTAGCCTACGGAGACCTGCCTGACTTACTATCTTCTAAGGAAACCAAGACCAAGGAGAAGGAGAAGGAGAAAGCGAACCCACGGGATTGGGAGGAAGGGATTGCGTCCTATGGAGTGGGAGAATGGAGACGCCGACGATGGGTACGAGTGGTGCACCGAATAAGCCTTCCGCCGGCGGGGGTTGTCACCTACTCGACACTCAGTAGTAACAGCTAAAGGAAACACGAGATAACGAATCCAAGCGGCTCAGTTGCCGTCCAATAATATTTACTTCGGGACACATTCATCCACGTAGACACTTTTAATAAACAGGAAAAGATAAAACGCCAGACTCGCCCTAACCAGATGCTCAGAACAAATGAACAAGGCATTACGACTGACTCTTCTTCCACTTGTTAATTCTCCTCCGCAAATCACCCTCGCTCTGCTGCATAGGATTCAGCTTGCGGTCACGAGTCATAGCAGTGAAATTGTCCCCGTGCTTCTCAATCAAGCGCTGAGCCCACTCGCCCTCACGCGAGCTCTGGTACCGCGGCTTCTTAGCACGGACAGTCTTGCCCTCCTGATCCGCCTGGCGCTCAAGCTGCTGCACAATCACTGAGTCTGCGAGAGGGTTGCTCTCGCCATTGCCAGCCAAAATGTCGTTCAGAGGGTCGTTGAGAGGGTTTTTGCGCGAGCGCTGGAGGCCCGCCACTTCGATGTTGTCTTCGTCGTCGTGAATGACGCGCAGAATCCTGCCAGTCTCGGGATCGCGCTCAACTCGTGTCTCGCCGAGGTCAAGCTTGGCTGCAGCTGCTTTGGCGCTGCCGCGGATGTGCAGCGAGTTCTTGTTGTCGGGGTATTGGTCCTTGTTTCCAGGGAGGCGTTCGCGGCCACCGGATGGTGCGTTCAGCTTGTGCATCAAACCAAGGCGCTGGTAGTTTTGTGTCAAGGTCAGATCACGATCCCTACAGCGGTTAGTATTTCGTATATTTCGAGGTGAGCAATATTTGCATACCAGTTGTCGGCGATGATCTGATTGCCCAGCACATTGATCTTCTTGTGGCCGCTCTTGAGGCGATTGTCCTTGGCACGGGCCATGGAGCGCCCGGAGCGGGCCTTCTTCTTTTGCAAAACTTTACCCATTGTGAATTGTGAAGTGAGTGTAGAGGTCGAATTGGTTCTTCTTGGCTGTTCGGCGATAATAAAAAGCGTTATCGAAACTTTTTTTCTGAGTTTGCAAGTCTTGGCATGTTTGCTCAGGGTCCCGCGATAAACAACGATAGCGGTTAGCTGTACTTCCGTGCTCAGGTGGGTGATATCGCCTGTCACTCAAACAGAATCTTGGCCAATTCCTCTGCAATGGCTTCTCGCTTTTTCCCTTCACGTAGGACAGGCATTGCCCTTGTTGCAGGATGTCTTCTGTTCTCAGCCTTGGCAGCGGCTAATGTTGGCCCTGGAGAGCTCTCCGTGAGCCAGATCGAGGAGCAATTGCAGGTATGCTGTATAACGTACTTTGTGTCTTACATGTGAACTAATCTGCCACAGAGCTGTCCACTTGTGGAATCTCTCAATGAGCATAAGCGTGCAACGCGCCCAGAGACTACTAGCTTGACATCGAAGATCTTCGCTGTCCTCTTCCCGAGCACCCCAGCTGTGAACGCGCTTCTGGCAACTTTGTATATCTCCGGTCCACCCAGTAAGTCTTCCCCGTCAATACGCGCGATAGATCTCTTCTAATTAATCTAGACTTCCTCCTGGCACTATGCCCGCCTAACATTGACCCCTCCTCGCTGTCAGTGATGGTCGCATTTGCCGTCGGCGGCCTACTTGGTGACACCCTCTTCCATCTACTCCCTGAGATCTTCGTCGGCGAAGCCTCCCCCGACCACGTGAGCTTCGTAATGGTTGAACCAAACAAGAACCTTCTTCTCGGCCTGGGAATCATGGTTGGATTCTTCACCTTTGTCGCAATGGACAAGGCTCTACGCATCGCGACTGGCGGCGAGGGCGGCCATGACCACTCGCACAGCCACGCGCACACTGAAACAGTCGATGCAGTTACATCCAGTGCCGAGACCAAGAAGTCCAGCGGCGAGCTGAAGAAGCGCAAGTCTGCTGCGAAGGAGTCTTCTGAGGTTGTTCCCGAGAAGGAGATTAACCCCAGCGTTAAGCTTGGCGGTTACCTTAACCTCATCGCTGACTTCACCCATAACATCACCGATGGCCTCGCTCTTTCATCTTCCTTCTATGCCTCGCCTACCATTGGCGCGACGACTACTGTGGCTGTCTTCTTCCATGAAATCCCCCATGAAGTTGGTGACTTTGCTCTGCTTATTCAGTCCGGCTTCTCAAAGCGCAAGGCCATGGGCGCGCAATTTGTTACCGCTATTGGTGCGTTCTTGGGTACCCTTATTGGAATTGCTGTTCAGGAGTTTGGTGGCAACGGCACTATGTTGGATGATAGCGAGCCTGCTGGTCTCATGGGAACTAGCCTCACCTGGGGTGATATGCTTCTTCCGTTCACGGCTGGCACATTCTTGTATGTTGGCACCGTGGCTGTGATTCCTGAGTTGCTGGAGACTGGTAAGGACAAGGGTGTTGAAGTGCGTAAGACTATCACACAATTCTTGGCTGTTGCCCTTGGGGCCGGCATTATGCTTGCGTAAGTATCTGTTCCCCTGCCCCCTCTCGTGGTACAATTATCGCTAACACACCCCTAGTATATCTTGGGATTGATTCAGTCATTTGGGCATCGGCATATGCTGGTATACACCGGCAATATCACACTGTGCCGAGCGCTTTTGAGCCTTAGTGCAACGACAAAATCCATGCCTTTAGTTTATTGAAAAGGATACAAAAGTGACGCCCGACTACTAGATAGACCAAGGCCTCGTTCAACTAGATACTATAGTGATTTTTATACATGATCATTTAGATTGATCTTGCAT